CATGGCCAAAAGAAATGTTCTTTAACTCTCATTTCCGTTTTCCTGTGTGAAAAATGACCTGCTCAGGGACTTTCATGAGCAACCGATAGAACAGTATTTCTACAATCATTAGGAACAACCAAGGTTCATTTACCTATTTTCTCTTGAGACTTGGCTTTGACACAGGTGCGGTACGGCAAACCATCTATGTTCTCATATTTGAAAGTAGATTCAGCTCTAGCCTCATCAAGTTCACCGGAGTGAGCTTTGGCTCTAGATGAAACTAGCGAGGGACATAGCCTGTCAATCAGAAAATTGTTGAGGGATAATATTCAAAGACTTTAACTCAGGAAGGGTTAATGGATGTACTCTCTTGGCTCGTGAAGATCTAGTTTGAACCGCTTGAATATTCTCTTTTCCTTTAACAACATTGCTATTACTAGGGTTGATAGCACCTAATACATTTCCTATTAGAACACTGCAAAATTTAAAGGGAGCTCTCAAAACATTTGTCCATCCCACATAAGAGGGACATTAAAGGGAACATTTAACTTCAGAAAAGTATTAACACATCCCAAGTAGTCCGTTACTTGAACCATTTTGCAGTTGGCTATATTAACATCATGAAGAGCTTCCTCAGATACCATAATACAAACATCAGGTATTCCTGAGTATGGTAGAGACCCAAGATTCATTGACTGTTCCAGATGTTAAAAGGGGAGAAGGAGTACTATCCTCAAAACAAATTCTGAGGGCACCGAGGTCGAATGTGACCCTTCTCGCCACAAGTCAGATTCGATAAATCTCATTTGCCCTGATTACTAGACTGGAATTGCCCAGGTTTTTGTTGAGATTCCTCAAGAATTTTGGAGAATAACCCCACTAGATTTCTTACTTTTGAAGGTACTGGGAGTTGACTTATGGTCGGCACCATTAACAGATAAACAGTTGTCACCTAGAGTCACTGCCTCCTTCAGAGAACTAACATTATGCTCCTTTACATAAGTTCGTAATTCTGAAGAAGGAGAACCTTGAAATTGACTAGAATCATTAAAGATCTTAAGAATTCAAAAGAATGTTCAATATTACAAAAGTCTACCCACTGATCGAACATTCGTCCTAACAGAATGGAAAACATTTCAAAAGTTTCTCCCACTCTGATCTTGGCACTTCTGAATACTGTCCTATAATGAACTGGAGTTTTATTAAATCTTCTCAACAGTGCTTTCTTTAGTAACTTATAATTACTCGTAAGTTCATCTGATAGGCTAGTGGATTTATCCACACATTTTCCGGTCAGAAGGCTGCCTAGTCTAACGGCATAGGTATCTTCATCTATGTTTAAAAGTTTGGCTAACCTCTCAAACTTAAGTAAATAAGAAGTTATATCCTCATCTTCCTTATGAACAGGTAAGGAAAGCATTGCAGAGATTGAAATTACCTGAGTAGTAGTTCAGGTTGAACTCTGACTAATTTGAGCCATTTGCAATTCATGCTCTAACTGTAACTTGTACCTCTCCATTTCTCTCTCTTTGGCTCTCTCTTCCCTGGCAAGAGCTTCCCTCTCTAATTCTCTCTTTGGCTCTCTCTTCCCTAGCAAGTGCTTGTTGGTTCCTAGCAAGAGCTTGTTGGTTTAAGACGAATTTAGCTATATCATCACCTTCAAGGTTTAAAGATTTGGCCCGAGCCTTTAGTTTTTGGATATCCATATCCATGATTGTTAACAAATGAAAGTAAATTACGAATAAAATTTTAATTATAGTACTATCACTCTAAATGAGTTATAACTCGCACCTAGGAGCAAAATATTATGAACACTGAAAAAAGTCTGAACAAACCTAATGGCTGGTTTGCCTAACCAGCTTACTAGACTGTCTACAAACACCAAACTGATAGACTTACTCTTCCTAATAAGAAGACAGGTAGGTAATCTATATATGGCGAGTAACTGAAAGTCCCCCCCCCTCAAAAAAAAAACGAATATTAATAACTGCTTACCTCTGGGCCCCAAGGACGGCAAGAATACGATAGTTAAACAACTACACCTAAACAAGTGTTACACAGGCCCACAACACTCACAACTGCTAATACTGTAGATCCTGAGAAAAAAATTAATTTAATGAGTTGAGCTTCGCTAGTGCACTTAGCTATATTAGACCTCAAGATATCACCCTAAGGGGTTACAAGGCCAATTTCAATACATCAATATCAGCATAGGCTGCTACTAGCCTTTGAAGAACTGGAAACGGAATGGGAATCTGCGCAGAGGCTGTGTCACTGCTTGACTGAGGGTTAACTCACCTGCCCATTCTTCCTGGCCTCACTGTTCTAGGTAGACGTTTCCAGACTCTTCTCCTGCTTCAGCTTCTTCTTGGCATTATAGTTTGGGTCTGTTTCTTCCTCACCATCTGTGAATTTTTTTCGTCAGCAATATGCCACAATGTTTTCTTTTCTTAATTATTTAGGAGGTAGGAGTGTTTTTTTCTAGGTTCAGGTTGTTTGACTTGTTAGGTGGGCTTCGGCCATCTTGCAGGTTTTTTGCTTTTTCTTGTTTAGGCATTTTGGGCCTCCTTCCCCCGCCATTTTTTCTTCTTGTGTGGTGCTTCATGCCAAGGGCTTCCCTTAGTTGCTTGTTTTTCCTCACGTGGGTGACCCTCCTCGTATGAGTACTATTGTCTCCTTTACCCGTTTCCTAGTCGCCACGTGCTGTGGTTCCCAAGCTGGTATTCATTCTTCCTCTTCGAGTGGCTCGGATAGGCTTTGGCTTTTCCACCTTGCTCCTGCTTTCCTCCCTACTTGTGTGTGTTCTAGGACGGGTGGCGGCCACGTTTTTCAGTCGGTTTACGGTGAGGCAGGGTGTGGGAGGGGTGTTCCCCCCCCCTCTCAAATCCTCCCTCCTCCTCCCACTCTTCCTTTTTTGTGTGTTTTTTCATGCTGGTTCGCCGGACTCTCTTCTTCGCAGATTTGTATGCCATCATCCTCTCCCCAGCTCCAGACGATGCCTTGCTCGGCCCCAAGGCGTTGGGACAGGTTCCGACAGGTTGGCCCGTTCGTGGACGTCGACAGGTTCGACCCGACTCGATGTACTGTGTGTTCTCCAGTCTACCGAGGACCCCAGGCCGAGGTCCCCCCCTCCGGCTTCCCAGTCGGCCATCAGTGGAGCCCACCTCTCCCCGCCCTGGGGCCTCGGGGGTCTCCACAGCTCTTCCACTTGCCCTTCCAGGAGTTGAGTAGTCACTCCTCCAGTTGCCACTGTCATCGTCCCAGGAGTCCCACTAAGTTCTTCTACAACAGGCACCACCGCCCCAGGTCGCCCAGGACAGCGGCCACAAGGGAAAGGGGCTCCCAAGGAGGAAGCGGTAGTCCTCAAACCCTGCAACTCCGCCAGGATCCCAGCTGGGTTGTCCATGCAGCCCAGAATGTCCTTGGAGAGGCGGTCCTCACCCACTCCGGACCTCCACTTTCACCAGCCCTCCTCAGGTGGCTCAGCTAGGACGGACACTTCTCCCCTACCGACCTCCTACGGCTCATTCCCCCCTGGAACAGCTGAACTTGCACGGCGCCGCCGGGGAGGATGGCCCTCTACCTCCCCCATTGCTCTGTCTAGGCCGGTCCCCAGCCGCCCAGACGTCACAGCCGGAGATTTTGGCCACCCCGGGCAGTGCACCCACACCCCCCAGCCATGCCACTGAAGATGTTGGAGGCTTTGTCTTCCTGGTTCGGAGCACAGCAGCAGCAGCAGGCCCAGACCCCTCCACCCTACTTCCAGTGGCACGGAGATCCCGCCCTCGCTCCTCTCAGAGTCCGGTTCCGAGCCAAGGAGGGCTTGGTCCTCACAGGGGCTGCCTGACTACTCCGACTTGGACCAGGAGTCGGTCTCAGCAGCCTCTCCAGCCCCTACAAGGCCCAGGCCTTCGTCAGGAGAAGGTACCTCCCCGCACTGATGGGCACTCCCCTCTCTTTTATGACACCTGATGACATCATCAGTGACATCATCAGCCAGGGTGTACACGTGGGCTCGGGCGCTATGGGACTGGTGTGTGCACTGGTACCAGGGGAAACTGGCCAGTAAAGTGGGGGGAGAACCTAATTTTCTCTCCCCGGTTTTGAACTAGAGGTCCGACGACGGGCGGACAACTAGGGTAGGAGTACTTTGAGATTCCGTAGCTCCGCCTGTCAAGAAGGGAGATGGTCCCAGCCCTGTTAGGAACATCTCCGGTCGCGACCCGGGACGCTTCCGACTCTCTGGCCTGCTGTTCCGTGCTGTCTACTGCAGGTCCTTACCGAGTGGCAACGCTACAGCACGGTAGGAGGTGTGCCCTGGCAGCAGGCAAGGCCCTCTTTCCATGGGAGAAGGTGAGCCAGGACCTCTAGTCGATCTAGACGGTGGCGGCTGAAAGGAATAGCTCCTCCATCATCTCCTCCTCTCCGGCCCTTTTTGTCTTATCCCCCCAGGATAACCAGGTGCCAAACGAGTTGGAGTTCCTGTGGACTCCGAAATTAATCCAGTTCTCTCTCCCATGGCAGGCCTTTTAGGTAGCCCAGGGCACCCTGACCAAGGACGCCATGGAGATGCAGAAGGCGGCCCTCGCCTTCTCCACTACAGCAGGACTGGCTCAACTCGGCGCCGGTTTGAAGGCACTGGCCGACAACCCTAACTCCCTCCACCCAGACTCGGCATTCGGTGTTTACGGGGCCTTATCTACCCTCGTTTCCGAGGGATAAGGCGGTAGGGGTCCGGCTGAACCTCCGGCAGGAGGCGTTCAGACACTGGGATGCGGAAGTGCGGCAAGGCCTGTTAAGGCTGGCACCCTTTACCCCGTCCCTGATCCTGCGGGAGTGTTTTGCCTCGCAGAAGACTTTCATTACAGTCGATGCTGTAAAAGGGGGTAGTGGAGAGGACACAACGACATGTATTTCTGTCCTAGTTATTCACTGTCCCCAAGACGGACTCGAACAGGGAGATATTGGTGGTGGATCTCAGCCGCCTGAACCGTTTTATCAAGCCGCACTATTTATGAATGGTGTCAGTAGCACAGGTCCGCCTACATCTCAAACAGGGGGCCAGGCTATCTTCCATCGACCTGGAAAACGCCTACTGGCACGTCCGAATCCACAGGAGGTTCAAGAAAATTCTGGCCTTCCAGGTAGAGGGAGACGTGTTTCAATTTACCCAGCTCCCCTTCGGTCTCTCTCTAGCTCCAAGAGTCTTCACCAGAATCGTGAGGGTCTTGGCCAGGGAACTCACCCACCGCAATGGAGACGTCTTCATGTACCTGGACGACTGGCTGATCTCGGCCTCGTCCAAGGAAGATGGCGAATCAAGCACAAGGGTAACACTGGCCACGGCAGAGGGCATGGGCTTCAGAATCAACCACCCGAAGTCCTCCCTCTCACCATCACAACAACAGGTGTGGCTGGAGATGTTGTGGGACACCTCCACAGCTTCCCTCCCCCTCTCCCCAGACAACTCACTACGAATACTCCGGCGCTTCTTTGTCGCCTCATTATCGGTCTTCACTCACCGCCAGTGGGAGACCCTCCTAGTCTCCCCCACCTTCGCGGCAGAGGTGGTCCCCCTAGGTCGTTTGCTTCTTCACCGCCTGACCAGGGAGGTCAACGCGGTCGAACCCAAGAAACTCGCACATCCCATGTCCCCTCACTTGTCCGCCCTTCTACTCCCCTGGCTGTCTCGCGACGCCCTACGCCGGTGGACGCTCTGGGTCCCATCAGCGCCCACCTTCTTCGTAGCATCGTATGCCTCCGACATAGGCTGGGGGTACCAGTCTTCCAAGGGTCACCAGCAGTTCGGGGGCTGGACAGACAAGTGGAGGGTGGCTCACATCAACGTACGAGATCTGTACGTGGCGTGGAGATTCTTGGAGGACAACCAGACTACCCAGGACGAAGCCAACTGCTTCGAAATGGACAGCACAGCAGCCGTTTTCTGCCTCAACAGGCAGGGCAAGGCCCGCTGAGCCCAATTGCTGTCACTCTCCAGCTTTTAGGGGACAATTACTCCAGAGTGTGTTTCAGTCACTGATAGAGCGGTGGGGTCGGCCAGAGTTGGACCTTTTTGCCTCTCAGACAACCGCTCAGCTCCCGGCTTACTTGAGTCGATTGACACCGACACCACACGGTGGCCCAGACGCCTTCGCGGAGTTCTGGAACAGGTGGACCTACATCTACCAGTTTCAAACCCCTTGCTTTAAGGTCCTGCTATGGGTCTGCCACAAGCTTAGCAGCTTCACGGGGAAGGTCCTCCTCCTTGCTGAACAATCTCTGCGATTGGCCGACTGTGTCCTTTAGAAACCTTATTGGCTGCCTTTGTGTCATGTACAGCCAAACGATTATTGTTCTTCTCACCAGTTTTCATCACCTTTCTTCAGTATCCTCGACATCACACAGTCGACTTTTTTCTCAAAGTCTACACAGCAAACGGATACAGTTATTCATTCCCGAATTCAAGGATCCTTTCATACTGTATTAGCATTACACCGATCACATCTCTTGTTCCATAACGTTCTTGATGTGTCAGATGTGATTTTAATATCCATATTTCTGACATCAGTATAACGTTACAAAGGGATCACTCCACCACAGCAGTTATCATGAGTATATAGCCAGTGTGACTAGATCACACCAGCAGTTATCAGTACAGTGACTTGTAAATTACTAATTGAGCCTTTGAGTATTACCACTTCATTCTTTTTTATCCAAGTAATAATTTGAGCAGCAGGCAATTAGTTAATTTTGATAGCACATGTACAACAAAGGGTTAAATCTATAGTTAACCTTATCTGAATAAAAAACAACAGTTATTAAATTAAGAGATTCCTTGCTTGTAAAGTTAGGAGTAAATGAATACTCACCTTAAATATAAATAGACATAATTATTAAGAAAATAAATTACACATACAATGTATAGTGATAATTTCTCACTAAATATCCACGCACTCAATACTGTAATTACTTTCCACTTACCAAAGATAAATCTAGCGATAACTTCTCACTAGGATATCGCTTGTTTCTATAAATCATAAAAGGTTTCAACAATAATTTCACCACTTTTCAAGTGAAATCATAATTTTCTATGGATGATCATAATAATATCAAACTTAAATGAAACATAAGTCCTTGTTCCAAATTGTACCATCCAGTGTTCTTCCACTGATATGTTAAAAATGCTTGAGAACCTCTTGGACAATTGCGGCTTCATTCTTAAACCGCTACAATCTTAAACAGCTCCAAGATGAATCTAACAGCACGATTAAAACTGGTTCACACATAAAATTTCTCCACACATATGAATTTGCTGTACACAAAAACCCTTGAAATTTTTTTTCAGTTCCTAATATAGATAATAATAAATCACTGACTTTTACTTTACAAGAATCATTTAAGTAGCTAACTAATTCACAGAAAATAAATAGTTAAAACAAATCCTATCTCACAAGGTATTAAGTGTATCTTAATTATTTATAGGTGGTCAGTTATGTTATCAATGAAAAATAGTAAAAAAACTACCGTAAAATATCATTCATATATTCACTGTTAAGTATTAAATCAGTATTATATTTGAGTTAATCATCACACAATAACATCCTATTGTGACTAAGGAAGTCTTTTATTTACTAAAGATTATCATATAAATTTAACTATGTTTCACTTATATAATTCACCTGTATCAAATATTAATACCTCTACATCTATCACTGACCAAAATCTACAAAATGTAAAGTAGATCTACATATCTTCACTCCATGATATTTGATATGATAATGGCGGGCCCATTGTCGGCTTATACACTGCCTATATATAGTGTTCGGTTACCGTAACTATTCAAGCTCACCAATAATTATAATTTACATAGTTTCAGGTCACTTATGTTAAATATTTCACTATAGTTCTTCACAATATAACTTTCTACAATTTAATTCAATGTTTATAACTAAAAAAACTCTTCCTAGATATGTTTTATATATATATATATATATATATATATATATATATATATATATATATATATATATATATATATATATATATGGTATTATTTGTAGTGATGATGGATGATGTTATATGTAGTGATGATGGATGATGATGTATGGATGGATGATGATGTTATATGTAGTGATAATGGATGTTGTTATATGTAGTGATGATGGATGATGTTATATGTAGTGATGATGGATGATGTTATATGTAGTGATGGTGGGTGGTGTTATATGTAGTGATGATGGATGGTGTTATATGTAGTGATGATTAGACAATAAAATAATAACAGTTTAATGCTAAAAAAATATACTTTGCTGTACCATTGTAGTGGAACTTACATACATCGTTAATGAACTATTGATGGGGAATATTGCTCTTGCTGTGGCATCCTCAGGCATTGCAACACTACTAGAAGAAGGACGTACTGCACACTCAACTTTTAAACTGCCTCTCAACCTCGCTCACAATGAGAATCCAGTGTGCAACATCAAAAAAGGATTGGCAAAGGCAAAACTCTTAGAAAAATGCAACCTCATAGTCTGGGATGAATGCACTATGTCTCACAAGTTAGCGTTTGAAGCACTGAACAGGACCTTGCAAGACATACGAGAAAATGACCAGCTCATGGGTGGCATTACAATGGTCATTGCTGGAGAATTTCGCCAGACCCTACCTGTCATTCCTCGAAGCACTCCAGCTGATGAACTGAATGTGTGCCTCAAGGCATCATACCTTTGGAGAAGTGTTCAGACACTCACCCTATCCACAAACATGAGAGTACATCTACAAGGAGATCAGGATCCTGGACGGTTTGGAAACCTTCTACTACAGATTGGGAATGGAACTTTCCCTGTTGATTTAGAAGGACAAATATTCATTCCTCAAGGAAGTGGAAATGTTGTAAAGTCCTCAACTGAGCTCACTAACATGGACTACCCAAACATTATCCACCAATACAAGGATCACAAGTGGCTGCGTGAAAGCGCAATTCTGGCACCAAAGAATGAAACAGCGGCTGAAATCAACATGACTCTACTCAGACAGCTTCCAGGCAGTGAGACCGCATTCAAATCTGTTCATACAGTAATCGACCAGGACCAAGCAGTCCAGTACCCTGCAGAATTCCTTAATTCTTTGGAGCCCGCTGGAATGCCTCCTCACCACCTCTCTCTCAATATTGGAACTCCTATAATGCTCTTCAGAAATCTTGAACCACCAATCCTCTGCAGTGGCAAAAGACTGGTGGTGAAGAACATGATGCCACATCTACTGGAAGCTACAATACTGACAGGAAAAGCTAAAGGAGAGGACGTTTTTATACCAAGGATACCTCTCATCACCACTGACCTGCCATTTGAGTTCAAGCGACTTCAGTTCTCTGTTAAAGTGAGCTTTGCCATGACCATCTAAAAAAGCCAGGGACAGTCCCTAAAGGTGGTTGGCTTAAACCTGGTGTTTCCTTGCTTCTTTCATGGACAGTTCTATGTTGGATGCTGCAGAGCGGGAACTGGCAAAAATCTGTGCATACTTGCTGCTAATGGCAAAACCAAAAATGTGGTTTACCTTAATGCACTACAGTAAGAGAATGTGGAGCCTCCCGGAGGGTGGCGTCCTACCGTGGCTTAGTGAAAGCGGCGATTACGCTAGTATATATATATATATATATATATATATATATATATATATATATATATATATATATATATATATATATATATATATATATATATACAGGTATATATATATATATATATATATATATATATATATATATATATATATATATATATATATATATATATATATATATATATATATATATATATATATATATATATATATATGTTACCGCAAGCAGCAATGAGTAGGATGACACATAAACAAACATTATGTCAGGCGGTAAGTCATGTCATGTTTATTGGGTGTGCCTGCCCGTATACAGTTTATAAAGTGTTGACATGGTGAAGATGAGAGGCCCAGAGGAGGTTGGAGTGTGTAAGGGGAGTTTTGTTTATGTATAATTATAATCACTTGACTCAGCCCTCGTCGAACAGCTAGGGTGGGTCAGGCAATCGGGCTGGTATAAGAACATAAGAACATAAGAAAATAAGGAGTCTGCAATAGGCCGGTTGGCCTGTGCATGGCAGCTCCTGTCGAGAGTTACTACCACTCTCTATCATCCATGAATCTATCCAGCCTCCTTTTGAAACTTTCCAGAGTTCCCGCACTTACTACAAATTTGCTAAGCTTGCTCCACTCGTCCACCACCCTATTTGTGAACCAGTTTCTTCCTATCTCCCTCCTAAACCTAAACTTATCCAACTTGAATCCGTTGCTCCGAGTCCTATCCTGCTCGGATATTATAAGAACTTTATCTATATCCCCTTTATTGATTCCTTTCACCCACTTAAACACTTCTATCATATCTCCCCGCACTGTTCGTCTTTCTAGGGAATGCAAGTTAAGTTTCTTTAACCTATCCTGATATGGAAGGTTTCTAAGTCCCGGAATCATTTTTGTCATTCTTCGCTGCACCGACTCTAGTGAATTTATATCCATTCTATAATAGGGGCACCAGAACTGAACCGCATAATCGAGGTGCGGCCTGACTAGCGCAAGATATAGTTGCAATAAGACCTCTGCACTCTTGTTACTTACACTTCTAGATATAAAACCCAATACTCTATTTGCCTTATTTAGAACATTAACGCACTGTTTTCTAGGCCGTAGGTCCGGGCTTACAAGTACCCCTAGGTCTCTTTCACAAGTCGACTTCTCTAGGTTGATGTTGTTAAGGCTGTATACATTATAAGTTTTTGTTCTTCCAATATTAAGTACGCTGCACTTGCTGGTGTTGAATTTCATTTGCCATTTTTCAGACCACCCCTGCAGTTTATTTAGATCCTCCTGTAATGCATTTGCATCCCGCCCTGAATTAATTAGCCGCCCTATTTTGGTGTCATCCGGAAACTTGCTTATG